GTCATCCCGGGCTATGCAACCGTCCGTAAGGATAGAGTGAGCAGGCCTGGTGGTGGATGCGCCACATTTATTAGAACAGGTATCCAGTATAAAAGTTATGAGTGGGAGGGGTCGCTTGAGTGTGTGATAATTGAGATATGGTGTAATGAGGGTAACTTATTTTTGATTAATTGTTATAACCTATGTAAGCCTTTGATTTTAACTGAACTAGAGGATATCTTTAGCAAGACTGGGCCGTCTGTGATTTGGGTAGGGGATTTCAATGCCCATAATCCGGGTTAGCCAAGAAAAGGATGCAAATGGAGCTGTTATTGAAGAATTTTTAGATATTGTAAACTTAATTGTTATGAATGGAAGTGTGCCAACTCGGTTTGATTTTAAATCAGGTAAGGGATCATATTTAGACATCGCTTTCACTTCTCCAGGATTGGCCCGGGTAGGGGACTTAGAAGTGTTGGAGGAGGATTTAGGAAGTGATCATTTACCTGTTCTTTGCCATTTTGGTAGGACTGTTTGTGTGGATACTGGAGGAGGAATAGCTAGATTTAATTACAGTCTGGCTGAGGCGCATGCTAGAACTATTGGACATATTTTTAGTGGTAGGGGAAACCGGAGTACCCGGAGGAAACCTACGCAGACACGGGGAGAACATGCCAACTCCACTCAGAAAGGCCCTGGTCCGACCGGGATTCGAACCCAGGACCTTCTTGCTGAGAAGCGAGAGTGCTATCCACTCAGCCACCGTGCCGCCCACAATAAAATCAGAAAGGAAAAAAAGTTAGAGACAGTTCTGTAGCACATTAGGGCCAGAGACCCCAGTTCAGCATTTGTGGAGACGGATCCACCGTATGTCTGGTAAATTAGTGAGCCCTTGCATGCCAGTACTCTGTGATGGGCAGGTTGAAGCAACTAATAGTAAAGAAAAGGCAGACATGTGTGTTACAGTATTTCAAGATGTTCATAACTCGAGGTTTTTATCAGAAGAAATTATTAGATTACGTGAGGACTTGTCAAAGTCGCCATCATGAGGTCACCCACCCCGCCCATAGGACCCCATTCATTACACTGTGTACTACAGCAGGAGCAAAGCCATTCAGTGCCTCCGGCACTGTTTTGTCAGTGTCTAGGCACGTGCCGTCGGGCTTGGGGGACGAATGTCGTCCGTAAGACAATTGAAAGAACCCCCCTTTAATAGGACCTCAAGCATTTCACTGTGTACTACAGCAGGAGCAAAGCCATTCCGTGCCTCCGGCACGGATTTATCAGTGCTTGGGCACGTGCCGTCGCGTGCAGGTCACAATCTCCGGGCTGTGCCCGGAGATTGTGACTTATGACAGTTCAACGAGTAATGCCTGGGCTTTACTCATTGGAAAAGTAATAGGCCCTTACCCCGGTTGGGGCTCGGGCCTAATAAACGCCACAAAAAGTATAACTGCAACCGGGAACAAGACATGCGGGAAAAAACACAATGAACCGACAGCAAGAGGACAGGAGCACAGGGTCTAAATACACACAGGTAGACACATGTGTAGCACATCAGGGAGGGGCAAACAATCAACGAGACAGACAGGAAGTAAAACTTGCGACAACAGAACAAACATATCAAAATAAAACCAGATACATCAATAGAAAGTCCACACCATGACAGGAAGAAGTACAATTGAATCAGTGGCGGTTTTAGACCGAGATGTCAGGAGAGCTATTATTAAAAAAGAAGCTGTTCTAGCTGTGTTTTTAGATATAGAAAAGGCATATGACAGTATGTGGAGAGAGGGCTTACTTCTTGGTCACTAAGGCAAGGCAAGGCAAGGCAAGTTTATTTGTATAGCACAATTCATACACAAGGCAACTCAAAGTGCTGAACAAGATAGCATTAAAATCATAAATAATCACAGAACATTAAAACGAAAGATAAAAATATAAAATCCCTCAGTTGTATGCACAGCTAAACAGCACCGTTTTTAACTCGGCTTTAAACATTGTCAGAGAGGAGGCCTGTCTCACATCTTCAGGAAGATTGTTCCAGATTTTAGCAGCATGAATCTGAAAAGCAGCCTCCCCATGTTTAGTTCTGACTCTGGGCACTAACAGGAGTCCAGTCCCTGTGCTCCTCAGAGTCCGGGCTGGTTCATATGGGACTAACATGTCACTAATATATTTTGGTGCGAGGCCATGGAGAGACTTGTACACAAGCAGAGCTGTTTTAAAGTCTATTCTCTGAGCCACAGGAAGCCAGTGCAGGGACCTGAGGACTGGACTAATGTGGTCGTACTTCCTTGTTCTAGTCAGGACTCGAGCTGCTGCATTTTGAATGTACTGCAGCTGTTTTACAGCCTGTTTGGACAGACCTGTGAGCAGGCCATTGCAGTAGTCTAACCTACTGGAGACAAATGCATGGATAAGAATCTCCAGGTCTGCTTTAGACACTATGTTTTTGATCCTGGCAATGTTTTTTAGATGGTAAAAAGCTGCTGATGTTACTAATACTCGTTTATTTTTTGGAAACCACAGGGTTTTTTGTCAAGTATCAAAATTGTTTTAGAAGAGGAAGTGTCACGGGTAAACAAGGAAGGACCCAAAACCAGAACTGCAAAAATAATATAATTTAATAAACGGCACAAAAAGTATAACTGCAACCGGGAACAAGACATGCGGGAAAAACCACAATGAACCAACAACAAGAGGACAGGAGCACAGGGTCTATTACACACAGGTAGACACAGGTGTAGCACATTAGGGAGGGGCAAACAATCAACGAGACAGACAGGAAGTAAAACTTGCGACAAGTATAAGTAAAGTATAACTGCAACCGGGAACAAGACATGCGGGAAAAAACACAATGAACCGACAACAAGAGGACAGGAGCACAGGGTCTTAATACACACAGGTAGACACAGGTGTAGCACATCAGGGAGGGGCAAACAATCATATGACAGTATGTGGAGAGACGGCTTACAGTACTTCTTAAGTTATATGATGCTGGGATGCATGGAAGGTTGTTCCGTTGGGTCAAAAACTTCCTTAGTGATAGATCAATCCAGATGAGAATTCGAAATGTATTGTCAGGTGCTGTAGAGGTAGCCAATGGAACACCACAAGGAGCAGTGATTAGCCCAGTATTGTTTAACATAATGATTAATAATATTTTTGAAGGAGTGGATTACAGATTTGGTAAATCTCTCTTTGCTGACGACGGTGCAATTTGGAAGAGCGGGAGGAACCTCAATCATTTGTTCTCTCAAACACAGAAAGCTTTAGATCAAATTATTCAGTGGGCAAATTGTTGGGGGTTCAAGTTGTCAATTGACAAAAGTAAATTTAAGATTTTTGGGTTGAAGAAAAACATTCCCTCATGTAATCTCTACATGTATGGATCAGTTATTGAAAAGGTTAAAAAGTTTAAATTCTTGGGGCTGTGGTTTGACGAAAAACTAATTTGGAGAGACCATATTGGGAAAATGGTTAGCAAATGTGAGAAAGTTATTAACATTATGAGGAGACTCTCAGGTAGTGACTGGGGGGCAGAAAGGTATACCTTACAGCTGATTTACAGGGCTATGATTAGGCCTATTTTAGATTATGGTAGTGTAGTTTTTGGGAGTGCCTCTAAATCTGTGTTAGAAGTTTTGGATCGTGTGCAGACTAAAGCCCTAAGAATCTGTTGTGGAGCATTCAGAACTACCTCTATCCCAGCATTGCTTGTGGAAATGGGTGAATTTCCTTTAAGAATGAGAAAGGATGGATGGATGCTTGGTATGGATAAAGCGGCTGCTTCCAGGCATGTAAAGATGAATTTAAATGAGCAAAAAGATGTTGTCAAAGTTTTCACTGATGGTTCTAAAGAAGAGCAGCCGCAAAGAACGGGTTTTGGAATTTATATCGCTCAGTTGCAAATTATGCAAAGCGTCCATATTAGAGACGAGCTGTCGATCTTTTCTGCTGAATTATTAGCTATATTGTGGGCACTGTGGTGGATTAAAAAACGCAATGTTTTACAAGCTGTTATTTGTTCTGATTCTGCTGCTGCACTACCGGCGTATGGAGTATGGAGGAGTATGGAGTCAGATGCCAGGCCAGATATGCTCTTGGAGATTTTGTGCTGTTTGAAACAAATTGAGGATGTGGGTGCCTCTGTTTGGTTTGTTTGGGTCCCTGGGCATTCAGGGGTGGAGGGAAATGAAAAGGCTGATGCTCTGGCCAAAGAATCACTTCATAGAGACGCTATAGATTATCATCTTCATTTGGGGAAAAAAGAGTGTTACAGCATTAGTAAAAAAAAATATTTTCAAAGTCAGTGGCAGAAAGAGTGGGAGAGGGAGACCAGGGGGAGACTCTATTATTCATGTCAATCATCAGTCCAAAATAGTAGCTGAGGGGCGTAGAGAGTAAGTGGTTCTCACTAGAATCAGACTGGGGCACTGTGGACTTGCAGCTTCTTTGTATAGAATAAGTAAACATGCAGATGGACTGTGCACTTGTTGGACATTGGAGACGGTTTCTCACATCTTGTTGTCATGCAGCAAATACTCCAAGGAACGACAACAACTATTTGTGGAATTGGCTGATTTGGGGCTAACTTCTTTTTCATTTAAGTCAATTTTTTCAAGTCGTGAAAACACTCAAGGAGTTAACAGAGCCATTGTTTTATTCCTCCGCCGCACAGGCACTTTTTTGAGAATTTAGAGTACTGACGGTCTCATAACTGTGGAGGGCAGCATTGCGCACGCCAGCGTACAGCTTGCCGGAATTATTTAGAAGAAGAAGAAGAAGACCCCACGCGGGTCAAGTGACATGGATAATTCTTTAAGACACACCACCTGTGAGATGGCTGATTCTACGTCATGGTGCTGATGATGCATGATTGCGCTATAAAAGCACCCGTGTGCCCAGCGCACATTGATCATTTTGATTCCACGTTGGCAGGTGGACGAACGACGGAAGAAAATCGAACAAACAAACAAACAAATACTACAATTGAAGACTGTTTTTTTGCCACTTACTTGGTAAGAGGGAGGAATACCTCTCGGGGTGACTGTCTTCAGTGTTAGGGAAGATCCAGTGTCTGGCGTATTGCTCCAGGGTGAGACAGTTCATTTGCAGAGGGGATTGGTTTGTTACCATCGATCTGAAGGGCGCCTATTTTCAGATTCCCATCTGGAAAGGCCACTGGCGTTTCCTCAGATTTGTCTTCAACAGCAAGGTGTACGAATTTCAGGTTCTTCCCTTTGGGATATCCCTGGCTCCTCGCACATTCACGAGGTGCATGGAAGCAGTGCTCTCACCTCTCAGACAGGAAGGCATCAGAATTCTGAACTACTTGGACGACTGGCTCCTGTGTGCAGGGACACAGCAGGAGTGTCAGGCTCACTTCTCTCTGCTGTTGGAACACCTGCATCAATTGGGGCTTCGTCTCAACTACGAGAAAAGCCATCTCGTACCGTCTCAAGAGACGCACTTTCTAGGCCTAGTCCTGAATTCTCAGGCAGCAAGTCTCACACTATCACAGACGAGACTGAGTTGTCTCTCGCAGTTCAGACTGGGGGCCAGAGTCATATGGCAGCAGTGTCTCCACCTCATGGGGCTTATGGCGTCCATGTCACAGGCAGTCCCTTTGGCGCTGCTGAACATGCGCCCAGTCCAACGGTATCTTCTGGGTCTAGGTCTGGATCCTCAGCGACACCTACACATGTCAGTACTGGTCACCAGGCGTTTTCTATTGACCCTTCATTGGTGGCGTTGCGCAGAAAATGTGAACAAGGGGCTCACTCTCGGTCCGGTGATTCATCGTCATCTTGTGGCGACGGATGCATCACTGACAGGATGGGGAGCTGTGTACAGAGGCAATGGGGTCAGCGGACACTGGCGGGGTGCCTACACAACACAATACATCAATGTCCTGGAGCTGTGGGCGATATATCTAGCCCTTCGACACTTCCTTCCTCACATACAAGGGCAACATGTCCTGGTGAGGACAGACAGTGTGGCAGCAGCCTCGTATGTGAACAGACAGGAAGGGTTGGGCTCAGTCTGCCTGTGCAAGATCGCACATCAATTGTGGCTGTGGGCTCAACCCAAGTTCCTGTCGCTGCGGGCGGTGCATGTGCCAGGATTGGACAATGTTGCCGCGGATCTGCTCTCCAGGTGAGGGCCGGATACTGGCAGCTGGAGGTTACACCCTCAGGTGGTGTGGGCCATTTGGGGCCGTTACGGGCAGGCGTCAGTCGATCTATTTGCGTCTCGCCAGAACGCCCACTGTCCCCTGTTTTTCTCTTTGGGGAGGGACAATCCTCCGCTCGGGGTAGATGTCTCACCCGTGGCCTCACGGTCTCCTTTATGCTTTTCCGCCATTCGGTCTCCTCCCGTCTCTCTTGCAGAGGGTGCGGGTGGAGGAAGTGAGAGTAGTCCTGGTGGCTCCCCTGTGGCCTCACATGACTTGGTTCTCGGACATCCCGCGTCTCCTCAACGGGACTCCGTGGGAACTCCCAGTACGCCCGGACTTGCTGTCGCCGGGTCTGGGGGCTCTGTTTCATCCGTTTCCCCAGGGGCTAAGGCTCTGGGCCTGGCCCCTGAGAGGTCCGAGTTGCTAGCTAAGGGACTTCCAGATTCTGTGGTGCAGACTTTGGAAGGTGCTCGGGCACCATCCACGCGTGCACTATATACGCATCGATGGAACTCCTTTGCTAAGTGGTGTGTGCAGCATGGGTTTGACCCTCTGGCATGTACAGCACCAGAGATTCTGCAGTTTTTGCAGTATCTTCTGGAGGCGGGCAGGTCACCATCCACATTAAGGGGAATGGTGGCTGCTATCAAGGCACAAAGGGTAGGCAGACACAGTTTACCTGATGATGTGTCCCACCTGATCTCCAGGTTTCTCAAAGGGAACCGACGGCATGGTGGCAGGTGTACAAGACCACCCCTTCCCTCCTGGGATTTGGAGATGGTTTTGCAGGCCTTGGTGAAGCCTCCTTTTGAGCCTCTGGCTACAACGGACCTGAAGTGGGTGTCGTTGAAAACGGCCCTTTTGACGGCGTTGGCCTCTGCTAAAAGGGTGGGAGAGCTCCACGCTCTCTCGGTTCATCAGGACCTCTGTAGGTTTATGCCTGAGGAGGCTGGTGTAGTTTTGCGACCGGACCCGATGTTTGTCCCTAAGGTTATCCTAGGTAGACACTCAGATTTGGCAATCTCGTTGAGGTCCCTGTTCTCCGTCCAGCAGGCAGGGGGTGAGCGGGAATGGTCGCTGGTGTGTCCAGTCAGAGCCCTGCAGGTCTACATGACTCGGACACGGGAGCACAGGACTGTGGATCAGATTTTTGTTTGGTTTAAGCAAGGGAAGTTGGGCCAGCCCCTTTATAAGGCTCGCCTGTCACATTGGCTTGTAGATGCAATGCGTCAAGCTTATGTGACTATGGGGGTCGAGTTTCCTGTGAATGTGAGGGCACATTCCACACGGGGGATGGCAGCGTCCTGGGCTTTGTGGCGTGGCGCCTCGCTGGATGAGATCTGTGCTGCTGCCACGTGGTCAGCTCCTTCTACTTTTTCTCGGTTTTACCGGTTGGATTTAGCAACGGGCACGTCCTTTGGGGAACGTGTGCTGGGTGCCGCGCAACCCCAGTGATGTTACCCATAACCTTGCATCTTGCAGGTTGGGATGGGGCACCGGGATCTGAGCAACAATGTCCTGCGTTGGCAGAATGGGTTGCCCGTCTTTATTTTTCATGACAGTGGCCTGGCCTTTGCGTCTTGCAGGGCTGTGTCGCCTCGGTTGCGTCTTGCGCTGGGGCCAGTGTGTCACAACATGCGTCTGGCACGGTTGGCTTCTAATGTGTGTAGTTTACTGTGTCACTTGGGTGTTTTTTGTTCTAATTGGTGGCGGAAACGTCTCATTCGAAATAAACCCAGCTCGATCCCCTTGGGGTGTGTCTTACAGAGTCCCCGTACATATGAAATATGTAACTGGGTGGAGAGATAGTCTCAATACGATAGAGAACGTTACGGTTACAGTATGTAACCATGTTCTCTGAGTGAAGAGACTATCTCTCCAGCTCGATTCCGCTCGGGGATCCGTTACATCAAAATTTGATCAATGTGCGCTGGGCACACGGGTGCTTTTATAGCGCAATCAGCCATCTCACAGGTGGTGTGTCTTAAAGAATTATCCATGTCACCCGCGTGGGGTCAGTCCCACCGTACATATGAAATATGTAACTGGGTGGAGAGATAGTCTCTTCACTCAGAGAACATGGTTACATACTGTAACCGTAACGTTTCTGTGAATATTGCATATTACCTTTTTTTGTAATATAAATCCATTATGATTTTAGTTACTATTTAAACATATTGGTTTTATTAGGCCCGAGCCCCAACCGGGGTAAGGGCCTATTGCTTTTCCAACGAGTAATGCCTGGGCGAAGCCCAGGCATTACTCGTTGAACTGTTTTAAGTCACAATCTCCGGGCGCAGCCCGGAGATTGTGACCTGCACGCGACGGCACGTGCCCAAGCACTGATAAATCCGTGCCGGAGGCACGGAATGGCTTTGTTCCTGCTGTAGTACACAGTGAAATGATTGAAGTCCTATTTAAGGGGGGTTCCTTCAACTGTCTTACGGACGAATGTCCGGGCGAAGCCCGGACATTCGTCCCCCAAGCCCGACGGCGCGTGCCCAGACACTGACAAAACAGTGCGGGAGGCACTGAATGGCTTTGCTCCTGCTGTAGCACACTGTGTAATCAATGGGGTCCTATGGGGGGGGTGGGTGACCTCATGATGGCGAGGTGATTGACGAGCGCGTCAGCGCTCGTCAATCACCGAGAACCCAATAGTTGCGTTCGCCTGGTCGTTTGCTTTAAAACGACGTATCATTTGTATTATAGGTTACTATGGAAACCTATATTGTTTTTGCTCGAAGATTTAAAAAAAAAAATTCCTTGGTTTGGTTTATTTATTAGGCCCGAGCCCCAACCGGGGTAAGGGCCTATTGCTTTTCCAACGGCATTACTCGTTGAATTGTCATAAGTCACAATCTCCGGGCGCAGCCCGGAGATTGTGACCTGCACGCGACGGCACGTGCCCAGACACTGATAAATCCGTGCCGGAGGCACGGAATGGCTTTGTTCCTGCTGTAGTACACAGTGAAATGATTGAGGTCCTATTAAAGGTGGGTTCTTTCAACTGTCTTACGGCCAAGCCCGACGGCGCGTGCCCAGACACTGACAAAACAGTGCCGGAGGCACTGAATGGCTTTGTTCCTGCTGTAGTACACAGTGTAATCAATGGGGTCCTATGGGTCAGCGCTCGTCAATCACCGAGAACCCAATAGTTGCGTTCGTCTGGTCGTTCGCTTTAAAACGACGTATCATTTGTATTATAGGTTACTATGGAAACCTGTATTGTTTTTGCTCGAAGATTTACAAAAAAAATTCCTTGGTTTGGTTTATTTATTTCTTTTTTCTTCTGCGCTTTGAACCTTTTTTTGACCCCCTGAACATTGATGAAAAGTTGTGAAATTTTGCCCAAAATTCAGAACCGGCGAAAAATAAATTTTTTTGGTGTTTATTTTTATGGGACTAAAAAAATACCAGAACAGCGCCCCCTACAAAAGTCAGTTTACATTGCGCCTATGGGAGGGGGTCGGAGGTCAAGTTTGTCGTAGAGCCACGAAATTCGGTACACATGTTCCTCAGGTCAAGACATGAAAAAAAAGTTATTATGGCTCCGCCCCCTGACAAACAGGAAGCTCATTACTTTAATTGGAAAATGTAAAAATGAAAATTGATCTTTTTCACACATGTCGGCTGGAAATTATCTCCTCCTCGGCCGCTTCACCGATTTGTCTCAAAATCGCTCCACATGGTCTAAACCCATGTCCCATCTATTATTGAATATAGAATGTGGATCAGTTAAACGTTGTCCGAGCAGCGGAGCGGCAAAATGTGACATGTTTTTTCCAATTTTTGACAAAAGTAAATTTGCTCCCATTTGCACAAAAATAGTCAGATTTGCACAAAATTTTAATCCAATGCTCAGCTCCAAGGTCTAGGTCATTTGAAAGTTGAAATATTGAAATTGACTCATTAGCGCCCCCTAGAGACTATGTCAAACTTTTACATGGGCCTAATAAAATTTAGTTTTTTCAAAATGTTTGAAATTTTGCATATAATTCTGTTTTGTCATCTGGATTCAAAACGTCAATTACAACATATGATTATTTTTTACCCTGTTGCCGTGACGACCACAAACACTCCCCTGTCTGTGTCTATGAGAAAATCGTTAAATCTCTTAAAAGTACACCTCGCTCAAACATCAAACCAGCCGCGGCCGTTTCACTAATTTGTCTGAAAATTGCTCCACATGGTCTCCACACATGGACCATCAATAGTTGCATATAGAGTTCTAATTAGTCAAACGGTTTGCGCCTGACAGACTCCCAAAGGGTGGTTATTTTCATAGGGAGGTGTGAAGTTCCCATGTTATCCAATGGAGACTGTGTGTGGACACACTCACAGATTATATGTGCTCCTGTTTGCACATACACAAACTCTGATTTGCACTAAACTTGACTCGGTTGTTCAACTCCTGGGCCTAGGTCACATGACAGTGTGAACAATGACATTGGCCCATTAGCGCCCCCTACAGGCTGAGTATAGGTTCACATGGAGATACAGTTATTTGGGTTTATTTGTTTGATCTCATATTTGACCCACTTTACAAACATGAAAACTCACCAAACTTTGCCACAAGTTTTTTTCAGGCATAGGGTGTATTATTTTGGTGTTCTTTGGTATAAGACTAAACAATTGAAATTGTAGGGGGCGCTGTTTTACAACATAAATGCCTTCCGTTTGCACATACAAAGTCCGATTTGCACACAATTTGGAATGACTGTTTAACTCTTGGGTTTGAGTAAACTGAAAGTGTGAATCATGAAATATCAGCATTAGCGCCCCCTACAGACTGATACAAGTGTTACATGGGGAAAATGAGGTATATCTTTTGAATAGAGAAACACAATCACTAATCATAGAAAGTAAAATTACACAGTGTCGCTCCCATCAGGGCAGTGGGAAAATGGCGCGTCAGCGCCATCTCGGTGCGTGGTGCGGCGAGGGCCGTTAGATGCCGCTTGCGGCTTTAATTTATTATTTCTTTTTTCTTCTGCACTTTGAACCTTAATTTGACCCCCTGAACATTGATGAAAAGTTGTGAAATTTTTCCCAAAATTCAGAATCGGCGAAAAATTTATTTTTTTGGTGTTTATTTTTATGGGACTAAAAAAATACCAGAACAGCGCCCCCTACAAAAGTCAGTTTACATTGCGCCTATGGGAGGGGGTTGGAGGTCAAGTTTGTCGTAGAGCCACGAAATTCGGTACACAAGTTCCTCAGGTCAAGACATGAAAAAAAAGTTATTATGGCTCCGCCCCCTGACAAACAGGAAGCTCATTAATTTAATTGGAAAATGGAAAAATTAAAATTGATATTTTTCACACATGTCGGCTGGAAATTATCTCCTCCTCGGCCGTTTCACCGATTTGTCTCAAAATTGCTCCACACGGTCTAAACCCATGTCCCATCTATTATTGAATATAGAATTTGGATCAGTTAAACGTTGTCCGAGCAGCGGAGCGGCAAAATGTGACATTTTTTTCCCAATTTTTGACAAAAGTAAATTTGCTCCCGTTTGCACAAACAAAGTCCGATTTGCACAAAATTTTAATCCATTGTTCATCTCCAGGGTCTAGGTCATTTGAAAGTGGAAATATTGAAATTGGCTCATTAGCGCCCCCTACAGACTATGTCAAAGTTTTACATGGGCCTAAAAAAATTTAGTTTTTTCAAATTGTTGGAAATTTTGCACATAATTCTGTTTTGTCATCTGGATTCAAAAAGTCAATGACAACATATGATTATTTTTTACCCTGTTGCCGTGGCGACGACCAACACTCCCCTGTCTGTGTCTATGAGAAAATCGTTAAATCTCTGAAAAGTACACCTCGCTCAAACATCAAACCAGCCTCGGCCGTTTCACTAATTTGTCTGAAAATCGCTCCACATGGTCTCCACACATGGACCATCAATAGTTGCATATAGAGTTTTAATTAGTCAAACGGTCTGAGCGTGACAGACTCCCAAAGTGTGGTCATTTTCATAGAGAGGTGTGAAGTTCCCATGTTATCCAATGGAGACTGTATGGACACACTCACAGATTGTATGTGCAAACAGGAGCACATTTACAAACTCTGATTTGCACTAAACTTGACTCGGTTGTTCAACTCCTGGGCCTAGGTCACATGACAGTGTGAACAATGACATTGGCCCATTATCGCCCCCTACAGGCTGAGTAAAGGTTTACATGGGGATACAGGTATTTAGGTTTTCTGTTGTTTGATCTCATATTTGACCCACTGAACAAACACGAAAACTCACCAAACTTTGCCACAAGTTTTTTTCAGGCATAAAGTGTATTATTTTGGTGTTCTTTGGTATAAGACTAAAAAATTGAAATTGTAGGGGGCGCTGTTGTACAACATTAAATGCCACCATTTGCACATACAAAGTCCGATTTGCACAAAATTTGAATTGATTGTTCAACTCTTGGGTTTGGGTAAACTGAAAGTGGGAATCATAAAATTGCAGCAATAGCGCCCCCTACAGACTGATACAAGTGTTACATGGGGAGAATGAGGTTTACCTTTTCAATAGAGACACACAATCACTGATCATAGGAATTCAAAATGCACAGTGTCGCTCCCATCAGGGGGGTAGGAAAATGGCGCGTCAGCGCCACCTCCTTTGCGCGGTGCGGCGAGGGCCGTTAGATGCCGCTTGCGGCTTTAATATTTACTTCCTTTACACTCAAACTGAGCCGGATCTTAACAACTATATACAATATTTATATTGGGAAATGGGCTGTAGATAGATTCATTGATCCCCCGCAGGACAAATTCAGGATCCATCGTCGGTTCCAGCTGCTTGGTGGGCTTGAGTTGATAAAAGTTGAATGAAGCTGTTTTTTAATGTTGCAGTAAAGCTCCAAAGCCACTGGATGGAGACATCTCCCTCACCCTCCCTGCCAGCCAAGGTTTCATGAAGTCACTGTCCCCTGAATGAACAGGTAAAGAAGTTCAGGCTGCGGCCAGGGAGATAAGATGCAATAAACTAGATATGATAGTAGACGTACTACGTATAAAAATAATAGCATGTACAACCTTGGTTAAAACTATACAACCAAGTAATTTAGGATAGATATAAAAAATGAGAAAGTCTATTTACATACATACATAAAGGCTATCGTAAATGATTGTTAGTCAGATGAACAGAAGAGAAAGATAGAGAATGCAGATAGTGGATACCCTGAATGAAACACGGCTGGTGATTAATGAAGTTTCCTAGAACACACGGTTACACTCTGACTCCTCCTCAGCGCCTGATGCAGGGCAAATATTCAGTAGCACATCATAACTGCTTTTCCTGAGCACCGCACACAGGACCTAAGAAACTTTTGATTTTGAAGTTGTTGTGTTTTTGGTTTTGGTTTTGTCTTTTCCAAAATCCAAAAGGAGTCTTAAAGATGCTGAAGTCTGAGGAGGACATTTTGGCGACTCGCACTGGAGCTGACACTTCCAAACACTCCAACAACCAAAAACTAAATCTGCCAATTAGGAAACTGTCTCATTCCATAGAGGAAATACTGAAAAAACCCACATGTTATAGAGAAAACCGGACAAGTGATTCTAGCAAATTAGAAATATTAGCAAACGAATATCACTCGACAGGTGAGTTTTGCTTTTGACAAATTTATTTTCCAAAGGTTCTCTCTTCTTCTTTGCTTATCTCTGATGGTGTTTCTGGTTGCAGACATGGCTTTGCTGGACACTTCGAGAACAATGAAAACGTGTGCAGGTAAGCTATATTGAGAACGCAAACCACATCATGGGATTGAAAGGTCATATAATTTTTCAATATTTGTCCATGTCTATGTCAGGGCTCTCAGGTCAGAGAAAGAGCAGACAGACGAGGATCACGTTTAGCCCCTTCCAGCTTCTGCATCTGGAGAGGGTTTTCCAGATGACTCCGTATCCAGATGTGAGCACTCGAGAGCAGCTCGCCTCCCGCCTGCACCTCACAGACACACGCATTCAGGTATCACTGCCCTTTCCAATCCAACAAGTTTAGATAGATGTAGTGTATTTATCATATCTGCATAGTCAGGGCGTTTTGTGTTATTTTGCAAATTCAGTTTTTCATGTATTCGACTTATATTGGTGACTAATAGATGTGTGTTTTTCTTTCAGATTTGGTTTCAGAACAGAAGAGCCAAGTGGAGAAAAGTGGAAACGCAAAAAGATGTAAAACTGGTGGCAACATTGTCCGCTTATGAGTCGCTTTATTACCAGGTAGGAAGAATTCTGGTCAAACTTGTAAACTTGTGATGTCAGCTTTGAAGGTTCTTAAATGTAAAGAAGCTAGTACAGCCTTTGATCTGTGAACGGCGCTATATTAATAAAGATGACTTATTTACTTAATTACTGTGATATCTGCTGCTGATCCTCACCTCAGTCCCTTGTGCCTCCAGAAGCAGCGTTGGAGCTGGACTCTCCCACTCTCCACCGTCCACCCGCACCACAAACCTCTGTATCTGGACCATTCTGCCACAAAGATCCCATGTTCTTAGTCAGGATTTATACTAAGACATTTCAGACTTATTTTATGTGTTTTTCTTTATTGTACAGTTTTGTGAGAGTCCTATTGTTTATAGATGTACTATATTTTCAATAAAATACTGTGAAAAGTGATTTTAGATTTTGTATTGAATTTTTTTGATGAAACCAATGAAAATGTAGCAGTGAAAACAGGCTCTGGCATTGTACTGTGTATCAACCTAATAACATCCTGTCTGTATCATCAACCTAAAAAAAAAGCAAGGCAAGTTTATTTGTATAGCATAGTTCTTATACAAAGCATCTCAAAGTGAGTAACAAAACAGTATATAGAAACAATCATAAAAGGCGATAAAATCATAAGTAATTCACATTCATAAGAGTGGAGATATTATTATTGATATTATTATTAAATTCTCAACAGCTCAGAGTATGTATAAGGCAAGTAAAAACATGTTGCCAAACAATATTCAGAACATATTTAAGAAAAGAGAAGGGTGTTATATGTTGAGGAGCCAAAACAACTTCAAAATCTGTCAGGAAAAGATATTTCCTATTGAGGAGTGAGACTATGGAATAACATTTCTGACGATATAAAAACATGTGTAAGTATAAAACAGTTCAAATATAAATACAGAACTCACAAAGTATATTTAAATGAGGGAAAAAACTTATTTCTCTCATAATTTTGTTTATCTTTTGTAAATGGCTTGGTCTTGTTTTGTTTTGTTAGAACTGAAGGAAGCAGAAATACCTACATTATGTAAAGATGGCATGGGTGGGATTTGATAAGTAAGTAAGTAAGTAAGTAATCTTTATTTATATACCGCCTTTCACAGACCAGAGTCACAAAGCGGTTTACAATTGTTTTTTTTAATATAAGTTTTAAACTTCCTCACACTCCTTTTTGAAAAATACTGTTGCAAATAAAAATAAACTAAACTAAAGCTAAGCTAAGATACATTCCTCCAGTTGTGTGTACAGCTAAAGGGAAACAATATTTATGGGTTTTAACTAAAAAGTGCTGTTTTGTTGTACATGAAAAGGTCCTCATCACGACAACTTATTTCCCAGTAAAGTGAAGATAGGAGTGCCATAAACAATGTTATCGGATTGACTTTTTGACTACCTTTGCTTATCTAAATTAGCACTTGTAATGTGAGGTTACAGGCTGGTCAGTCCAAGCTGAAAGATTGTCTGAAAGGGATCACAGACATGCTATCAGCAGGAACTGCATAACACCAATTTAAAATAGCAGTGTATTGTTATTTGTATATAGTTGGAATAGTTCAATGGATCTAAAGAACAGCTCGACTTTCAAGAAAAACAGAAATGTACAAACGTATTAATGCAGAACTGTTTTTAAAAAGTACTCAATAAGTATATGAGAGGGAGTGATGCCCTGCTCAGCACATGGTAAGTAATGGAAGAGAGGTGTAGGGACAGAGAGTGCTCGGGCCTGTGTCTTCTCACAGCGCTTGAGTGCTCGTGTGAGTGCGTTGTGTTGAGCGAGAAAGGGGTTTGAGCCAAAAAAGTGTCTCATACGACCCCAATTAAACCTGTTTATTTCTGTTCATTTTTTATCCTTTTTGTTGTATTAAGTGAACATACATTTGAAATAAAATACCATTACTAACTCGGCATTTGTTTTCTACATCAAGGAGAGCTTTAATGTATCCTGTCCAGCTCCAAATCCAGATCACTCATTAATACTATCCACAAAACTGATAAGCGACAATTGACATCCCTATCACTACAACAACTCATAACCGGGTTGAACTTTTAGCCTTTTGGTAACTATCTTATTGCTTTCATGTAAAAACCCTCCCAGCCACAAGCTACAAGAAAGTGTTAAAAGTAGCACATTAAAAGTATCTGATGTGGATCTGTTTTGTTATGACCTCATGAAGCGGTCAAGTTTTTGTTTTTTGGTTGCACAGTGATCATAAAAACGTATGTGTAACTTTTGTACAACGCATATATTTATCTCTCCAGCAATTTTAAATCATCCAAAAAGGTTGTGGTAGTAATCAGCATAACATTACTCTTAAGACAGAGACAGAGGTCCAGTGTTTCCTAACCAGCTGTTCCTGGAGCACAGGGGTATAAAGTAGGGGCATTGGAATAGAGTCAAGAAACCTTTACTATCTTGAAGAGGGCTGGGGATGTTCATTGATTTCAGTAGAAGAGAAGTAGAAGAGAAGAATATTATAGCCTTAATCTAATATAGATTACATATTACAAGACACACAAGGCAAACGGTTTTTTCTCCTCTGTCATTGAGGTTGTCTTCTTACCACTTTGCTTCAACATACAAACCTGTATTTACATTTAAAACTATTGACTTGAATTATATGTACGCATTGATCAGGGAAAATGCAAAATAAATATTAGTCTTTAAAAAAATAAAAATAAAAAGTCATGTTCCAGGTTTCGAAAAAACGTGATACAATTATAGCGAGACAACCAATTTAAAGAAAACGTTTTCAGCCTTATTCAATTTAAATTACAGTCAAAACGTTACCCTTACACGCACGGGCACACGTACTCTCTCTCTCTCTCTCTCTCTCTCTCTCTCTCTCTCTCTCTCTCTCTCTCACTCATATAGCCTAGCATCAACTTGAGAAAGCCTTCTGAAAAAAAAAAAAAAATTCAAAGCAAATCCCCGCTCACTGGGGTCTGTACAGTAGCTATGCTTTAAAACGCCCAACAGGTGGCGCCACTGGATGCATGAATAAGCAGAAATGATGCTGAGCGCGTTCTGCTGATACAGTCCCGCGGAAGGACAGCAGCTCTGGACCTATTTCTGCCTCAAGGAGTCGTTGTCTGGTGGCAGTCTCTCTCTCTCTCTCTCTCTCTCTCTCTCTCTCTCCTCTCTCCTCTCTCTCTCTCCTCTCTCTTCTCTCTCTCTCTCTCTCTCTCTCTCTCTCTCTCTCTCTCTCTCTCTCTCTCTCTCTCTCTCTCTCTCTCTCTCTCTCTCTCTCTCTCTCTCTCTCTCTGTGTGTGTGTGTGTAACCTGCAGCAAGTGTACATCTCCTCTCCTCCTTGTGCTGATGTGAAAGTGTGAGCGCAGGCAGAGGGGGCGGACGCATCACCCATCCCGTCTCTGTGCGCCTTTCCCAGCCTCCGTGCGCGACACCTGACCGCCACAAGCACGAGAGGGGCGATGGCCGCGGATGGAGGATGCGGGGAAAAGGCAGAGGAGTACCGGGAGGAGGTGGAGCGGCTCACGCAGGAGCTGGCCGAGGCGAACCGGGAGAAGATCAGGGCGGCGGAGTGCGGGCTGGTGGTGCTGGAGGAGAACCAGGCGCTCAAACTCAAGTACGCCGATCTGGAGAGCGAGCAGGACGCGCTGAGGAAGGAGTTGGAACAGTTGCAGGAGGTAAGAGACTTGTCTGATTTACATATGCAGACAGGTTAAGTTCACTATTGGTAAGAAATGTAGAATAAACTAATACATGAATGTGTCATGTGCCAAAATTATGCCTTAATCTTTGCTGAAATTGGTTTACCCGTTATCCAGGACCAGTGCAATGCATACAGCACTGCAGTGAGTGTTGGTCATTAGCTGCATATAAGTGACCATCCAACAAGGCACACACTAATAGCCCTGATACTATTTGTGTGGTGGTGACTGGTGTGTTAGTGCTGTCTATACACGACACCTATATATATGTTATTATTATTATTTGATTGTTGGTCTGAGCTGTAAAGTCTCCATCACAAAAACCTGCAACACTTCTCTTTTTTTATCATTTTTTTCAACTTGAGTAATCATCTTGTGTCATATTTCCTGTCTTTTTGCACACCCTCAGTGATCCTATTCATGCTTTTATTGATTTCTCCACTGTGAAATCAATCAAGTTATATCTTATCTTATCATCTCTGCATTTTATCGATACAGAGGCTGACTGTAGGTTTTTGAGGCACTGCACCATAGCTTTGTTTATTCGAATTTCATGTTCAGCTCAATTCGATGTGAAGACATTTATATTTTACATGAACACAACATTCTTTATGCACGCCCACATAGACCCATGTAGTACTGAGAGCGATTTCTTGTTGAATAATTTTTTTTCCATCACTTACAATTGTTGGTGAATTGTGGTCACATTACTCAGAACATGGAGGCGCAGTGGTGAGCACTTCACAGCAAGAATGTACTGGGTTCGATTCCACTTCCAGACAGGGCTTTCCTGTATGGGGTTTGCATGTTCTACCCGTGTCTGTGAAAGGTTTTCTCTGGTTTCCCCCAGTACTAAAATCATGTACAGTAGATTTAAATGTAAGGAATCAGTGAATAGATTGTTATGGTTGGAGGCTTCGAAGCTTGTCATCACGACCTTCTGCTGGTGCCTAGAGTCAGCACTAAACATGGGAAGGCAGCGGTTCAGATTTATGCAGCTAAAATCTGGAACAGTCTTGCTGAAGATTTGAGACAGGCTTCTACTCATGACAATGTCTCTGATCCAGGTTAAAAACAATTTGGTTTAGCTGTGCATACAACTGAACAATCGTATCTTCTCTGTTTTAAATGTACAGTGATTCAAATTCAAATTCAAATAACTTTATTTATCCAAAGAGACAAAGCACCAGTGGGCATACAAAAAACACAGAAACACTATACTGTATATATATTGATTATTCATGATTGTAACGCCTTGTGTGATTGTGAGCTTGTTTTTTTTTTTAGCACTTTGAGTGTATGAAATGTGCAATACTATTAATAAATGTCCGTTGCCTTGCCTTGAATGGAAAAAATATTAGTACTCCAAAAAAGCCACAGCATTGTAAAGCGCTTTGTGGATCTTGGTCTGTGAAATTCTCCATGAATGAAAAAGAAAAGAATGAAAGACCCATTTACAGTTTGAGATTCTCCTCCAAATTCTGCCCTGTGTGTGCATGGAAGTCCACATTTAGAAATAGCACTTGATCCATCCTGAATAATGGATGCTGCTATAGTATATTCATCATTAGTGCATACATGGACACAGAGGTGGCTGCTGTCAGGCCCTGGGCTCAAGGTCGTTCTGGAGTTGCTTGGACCAAAAGGGCACATGAAGGGAATAGCTGAAGGGTGCGCTTTTACTACAATAATAAGTCACCGGGGAGAGCAACAACCACGCTGCCAACATACGCATCTGAGGCCGGTTACAGACTTTCCAAATGTGACAATGAGCACACAGAAGCGAGTGGTGGTTTAAATATAATTTATTAATAACATGTATTTTAATATGGTTTTTTTTTGGTGGTTATTTTGAAAGACGAGACGTATTACTTTGTTAACATGTTTTGTCTGCAGAGCTGTGAGCAAAATATGATAGCAAAGTAATACATTAGTTTATATGCAAAATCAGATAAGTGACATTGGAAAGATATCGGAATAGCTTACAATTTGCTCTTTACCGAGTAGTTCAATCTGAAGAGACCAAAGACACAATTAATACATTAAAAATTATGTATTTGTTTGGCGCATTGACCCCGGCAGGGACACTTGCAGCGATGAGATCGATCGCAGCTGAAGATGATCCCAGATCCCCCGGGGTCAAGCACTGGTGGTGGCTAGAGTATAGTGTGAATGGGGCGTAGCCAGAGCAGGAGCCTAGAGCCAGAGCCAGAGCAGGAGCCAGAGGGGGTGCTGGGGAGGTGGTGGGTGTTTAAGAGCCTCAGGAAGCGTTGCTTGTCAGGAAATGGCTGCCTTTTAAACTACCCGCTTTGCTGCGAGAAGGTTGGCAGGAGGCTGGCCGGGCTGTGTGATTGGCTGAGGCTCGAGGCTGGCAGAGCTGTGTGATTGGCTGAGGCTCGAGGCTGGCAGAGCTGTGAGATTGGCAGGCACTCGGTCTTTCAGTCTGAACATCCGCATAAGCTTCATTTTTGTGAAAAGCCAGATTTATTTTGATAAATCTTTCTTGCGCAAATTCTTTCAAGCGCACTGCCATTAATAGTCTGTTGAAGATTGTAGCTAGAGGAATATATAACATTTAGACAACATTTCAAAACGGACATATCTGTTTTTGCATATAAACTCTTCACATATAACAGGTCTTTCAAAACACGAAAAAAAAAAACACATTTGAGGAGACAAAATTAACTTTTTGAATAATGTGTTTATATGACACTGAAATTTCTCCACTGTGAGACTAATAAAGGTTTATCTTATCTCATCTTATCTTATCTTATCTTATCTTGACCCGATTTAGGAAATAACAAATATTCTAAATTTATTATAATTAGGAACATGGTGTCATTCTATTGGTCTATACTTTATTACTGGTCAGCAAATAAGTGTTTTGTATAAATAACACATGTTTGTCCCAACAGAGAGGGTCTTGTTGAAGTAAAATGTTGTGAACAAATCAGACCACATACGGCAAACGCCTTGGGCTGCGAGCTGATTGGATGAGTGAGGGCGATCCCCGGAGATAGATAGATGGATAGATATATAGATAGAGATAGATAGATAGAGATATATACTGTAGATAATGCATGCATGGGAAAACTGTTTTGAGACTGAGACGTTGTTAAATACATTTACATAATTTCACTTTTTGGTTTGATTTAATTTCTTGATTCATAAATTTAAGTTAAAGCTTTAATTTTTGAGAGTCATTTTGCTGTACTGTTGTAGCTATGAGCTGCTGGCACCTTCGCTCAGCACTGAATTAATCATGACGACCACTTGCTGATGTGCACTTCCACATTGCATTATGCATGTGTGGTTTTTCACATTTTTCATGTTTCCATGCATTTCTTTAGTGCACTTTCATTATCGTTGCAGGCAGCTAACAGCACTGAAGGAGACCTGATGGTTCAACACTGAGTGGGAACGTGTGGATAATGTACAATTTTAAATAACTCTTAATTTTTCATTTAAAACTATATGACTGAACTATATGGCAAACCACAACATTGATCTATATTTTACTCATTACAAGCCATTTATACTGAAATACAACAATATAGGACTACTGTTGTGATGGTAAGTGCTTTTGGGTTCATTTGACATTTATGTTTAAGTTATATACATTTTTGCACATTTGCTTTGTTTTTTAGCATTTCCTGCTCAGTATTACAATTCCTGGTGTAATACTACTCTTGCAGATGCTTCCTATGAATATATACTCTTTAAGATCACATGTAGTCATTGTGTGTCTCATCTCCGGAGGGAAATCAAAATGGAAATTGCTTTTGGGACTTTGTGGTCAGTATTGAATACATATTGTTCATATAATATTTTCATGAAATGGGAAGTTGATTTTCTTTTTCCATCTTTGTCTTTTCTCTATACCTGCATGTTCTTATGAGACTACAGTGAAACGATTGCTTTCATTTACTTTTATATAGTATCTGGTCGGCTCTCTACTCTTCAAAAGGGTCACAGTGGAATTTATTTTACAAAGTGAGCAGCAGCAGTAGACCAAGAGACAACAATAAACAATATACTTTCTACATTGTTAGAACACAGCCTTACCATAGACTTATCTACTCTAATTCATCCACACATTTTATAATCGACCTCCTTGTTTTGGAGGTTTAAATCCACTCTGCTTTGTGGGATAAATTGTCAAATGTACCCACAAACTTGAAAAGAATTCTCAGTTAGAGTCATGTTAACTCTATGTTCATCTACCTCTGTCTTTCCTATTGATTTCTTCATCTCTTTCCTCCACTGCATATAATCTCTTTTTCCCCTGTTGAGTATCTCTTTGTCTGCATTGGTCTAAATATGTGTCCTGGGACAGTGGCTTCTGTTCTTGTAACATTGTGGTCTTGGTTTGTTAGAGCTGTCTCTGGGCAGATTCACCTGACTTACAGTTCTGCTTATGGAGGGTGGATGCTGCGGCTGAAGAATGGACACTGTGTTCTATACTGTATCTGCCTGTTTCACACATGGCATTCTGTTTATACTTAACCACTATTTTGATAATCAATTAGTTGGCCGATCATTATTTAGATTAATCAATGACTCATTTTTTTATTTGACCAAAACAAAACTAAAGTGATGTCCCTAGAAAACATCTTCATAGGGATGACTTGCAACACATTGGTTTGATTGTTTTAAAATATGTTGTAAAAGACAGATTATCATTTCATTCTTCCGTCATTCTAGAATTATCTGAGTCATAAGACCTCCTCAATGCATGTTTAAGCCTATTTAAGATTCCAAAAACATATAATTTATAAGTAACTATTTAAATTGTCAACTTGTTGCACCGTAATGGACTAATATTTATCCAAATCCAATGTTGTTATTGTTTTTATGTAGCCAATGGAGATACAGTATTTGCAGTGAACTATACAGATAAAACATCTTCTTAATTTTTTACTGTTGTCATCACTCCAAATCTGCTACATTATCCCTTGATCATGTGGCCACACCTA